CTTCTTCTCTGCATGATAGAGACAGGAAGGGAATTTGTGGACGACTCAGTGAACTTTCTGGAAGTGTCCCTAAGCCCATGTAGTCAAACAGAATCATAAAGAGCTGGTACCGGTACGTCCTAATGCATAAAAGCTCAGAAATGAAACTGTGTACTTTATATTTACATGAGTCTGAGTATCTGTAAATAAGAGCCACATTGAGCCTTTTTCTGTATTTGGATTCCAACTTTACCTCAGATATAATGGCTTATATCCCTCAACTTTAATACTTCTTTGGTTCCTTATATTAATGTAACTGGTGCTAATACACTACTGAAGTTAATGTATCTGCTTCTGCTTCTGTTTTTAACACAGTGCTACCCGAGAGCCCAAAGATCACAGGCATACAATGTGGATTTTCAGCCTGGTCACTTGCACACAGAGATTTCTCCAGATTCTCCGAATCATTTGATGATATAATGTACTGTATATTATTGATGAGATGTTCAAAGACTTCCCAATTTTAATGCTGACGCATGTTATTCTGAAAGCAATCCCGGCTTTGTAGATGCAGGTTTTTTGCAGAAAGGTGAACATTTGCCTATCTTTACATCTAAGAAACTCAGGCTCTCTAACGTGCTCTTTCTCTGTTTCCAGTTAATATAAATAGTTCCAAAATGTTCCTCCAGCTGTTTTTCAGTAACACTTTTCCAGTTTTTATGTTGCCCCATTTTTGAGATGTGTTGCTGCCATTAAATCCAAATGTTCTCTGTTGTTTTTTTAATGAAATAGTCAAATGTCCCAGTTTGAACATTTGATGTGTTTAAGATATGTTTACATTTTACACAGCATCCCAGTGTTTCTGCAGTAATAACATAGCATCAAATTGTTTGGACCGTTTGATCGTCTTTTCAGTTTAGCTTGTCAGCCTTGCAAGATTCTGCATATCCCTCCATGGTTCAAAAAGTTTTTGATTTCTCTCTTTCAGAGTCGTGACCTGTTCCTGCTGCTGCAGGTGGAGCCGGCTCAGAAGTCTGCAGCTGGAGCCTCAGGTCCATGTGTGTATTTGTGTTTATGTTTATATGTGAGAGAGCTGACTGTTTATCAAGTTCATTCGTGAGCAATCATAGGCCGCGTGTGTGTGTCCAACACAGGTGTGTATTCCCACTACATCCTCCAGCCATCTCCATCTCTGTCCCTGCTGCTGAAGCCTGTGGTCTCCAGAGAGTTGCTGCTGCCGTGCTCACAGCTGGTCTCGGCTCAGGACCCTGCACATCACGCCATGCAGACTATACAGGTTAGATGACCTCTGGTTGCTCTAAACAATTTAGAGAAGTAAATAGAGACACTGAGAACCTCAAAGCAGAAGTTGATGATTGAACTTCAGTAATCTATCAGCACTGGTTACCTTTACATTAATACAAAGCAAGCTGTGAGCCAAGTTAGACAGATATCCTCACATCTGAATCTACAATACTTTGGCATACAGAGGTGTTCATGGTCAACTCTGTGATTGCAAGCTGCCCGGGTCTTGTGCCTGCAAAGCGAGCCTAAATCATCACCCCTCCATCTCCATGGTGAAAGCTGATATGAGGGGGACACTGTGCCTCTCCACTTGGTTCTCACCTGTCCAAAGCTGTGCTGTTCTTTTTAGGTAGAAAATGCCTTCTTATGACAGCCTTTACAAATAAGCCGCACTTGTTCAGTCTTTTCTAATTGTACTATCATGAACTTTAACATTTATCATGCTAACACAGGCCCATAGATTCTGATGTAGCTCTAAGAGTTGCATCTTCTTCAGGTGGATTTGCTGCAACGTCCCCTCAATGGAGGATTTCGGCATCGTGTTAACACTTGAATGACCAGTTAACCTTTTAAAGACTGAACCATGAAATCATCATACAATTCTAATTGTATATACTTGGAACTAAGGACCACACCATGTGTTTATATGTCTTCTTCTTCTTCTTCTTCTTCTTTCCCCTGTTGGATCACATACCCATCAATCACTTTCTCTAGCATCCTCTTGTGTCACTCCAACCTTCTTCATGTCCTCCTTCACCACATCCATGAATCTTCTCTGAGGGTTTCCTCATTTCCTCCTGCC